AGTAAGAGGTGGAATTGTTTCGCGTGTGGGCCTAGGGGGAGGTGCTAATAGTTCTCAAGCATCTAATGAGATGGTTCATAATGCACAAGGAGGAAGTTAAGGCCATAGGCATGTCTTCAGTAGTAAAACTAGGAGAAATTGAGTTCGTGGCCAAGAAATGGAGGTACAAGGAATTTTTCGTATCTTGAATATTTGAAAGGAAGAAGGCAAATGTTTCCAGTGCGGATTAACTCTTGGGCTTGGCCATCGCCATCCGGAGAAGAATTTGAAGGCTTTAATTCAAGTTGAAAATGAACATATTGATGAGGCAAGAGAGATAGTGGAAAGTGAACAAGGGGAGGTTTGTCAGGAAGAAGAAAATGAAGAGAAGGAAGTGTCATGCCAATAGATGGTGCTATTTGTGTGCTCAGTTGGAGGGTGGACCCAACCAAAAATCATGAAACTTCAAGGCCAAAAATAATTGAGGATTTGAAAGATCCTAACCCTCATCTTCAATATACTTTGGAACATGAAAGACTATATTATAAAGGAAGGTTGGTGTTGGAAGCTTCGTCAAACTGGATTCCAATACCTCTACAAGAATTTCATTCTTCACCCACACGAAGACATTCAAGGGTGTACAAAATTTACTGTAGGATGGCTCAATCTTTGTTTTGGATCATTGCCTATTCCAAATGCTATTTGGAAAGCCATCAGCATGGGTTTTATTGTGGGATTGACCAAATCAAAAGGGTTTGATGCAATATTGGTGGTTATCCACAGATTGAGTGTGGGCACTTCATATTACATAGACATCCATATTCTGCTCGATCTTTAGCAAAAGTTTTTATCCAGGAGGTTGTGAGACTCCATGGATTTCCAACTTCAATTGTTAGTGATCGGGATCCTACATTCGTTAGTCACTTTTGGGAGATGTTCAGATTCCAAGGCACCAAACTAAATATGAGTACTACTTATCATCCCAAGTCCGATGGACAAATTGAGGTGCTAAACAGAACCTTAGAGACTTATTGATGGAGTGAGGAGGTGAAGTGGATGATGATCTTCCCTTTCCTTGCTCTGATGTCACGATCTTCTTCCTGAAGCTTGATTCTGGATTTGAATTTCTAGATTTGAGGACAAGACTAGTGATCCTAAGCTAGAGAAGGAAGCACTTAAGCAAGGAACACAACTGATTGCTCACGGATTAGTATTAGAAACTCTTGGATTCCTAATGCTAAGCAAGTGAACTCTCGATGACTTTTGGGAGAGAATGGCTGAAGCAAATCTCAGAATTGCAAATCTCAGAATTTTCATAAATGCAAAAGTGTCTACGAGAGTGAAGGATCACAATTTAAATAGGCTCAGGTGCTAGTTGCATTGGCGCCAATCACAAGCCATCTAATTGGTGCGTAGAATTTGAATTCAAATTCTCGGCCTCCATGTGCATGTCCGTAATCTTAGGAGCCTTCATGCATCTAAATGTCATTTAGTAAGCATTTGGGGTTGATTTGGGCATGCACATGGTCAGCCTTGGCTTAAAACATGTGACCCAAATTCAACTCAAATGGCTTCTAAATGAAACCTAGATATAGCCTCACTTGCCTATTTTAGTATTCCTTCAAAATTCCTACTCTAAGGACCTAAATACAATGGCCAATCAAATACAAACAATAGAAAATAATAAAAGAAGCAAAGTGAGCCCAATATTGGGTACCAAAATACTCAAGGCCCATGAAGCCCAAAAAAAGGCCTACTAAGCCTATGGCCTAAACCCTAATCTAAGTGGTCCAAAAATACAAGACCAATTTATGCAAATCCTACTCTAAAACAATAAGTACAATAAAGGTGGTTCATTGTAGAGCCCATGTGAAGAGTACCCTGGGCCCACCAAGCACATTGGGCTCACCAAGCTCTGAAGTAGTCAAATCTTCATGTAATTTTCTGGCCATAGCTCTAATGGTTGGACCCTTAGTCCATGTTCTTTCATCATCCCTTCCCTCTTGAAGAGGATTCGTACTCCAATACTCGTCCTCATCATCATTAGTTCCTACAAAAGATTTTAAATCATTAACATTAAAAGTAGAGATAACACCATAATCAGAGGGAAGATCAAGCCTATAAGTGTTATCATTGATACGCTGAAGGACTTAAAAAGGTCCATCTCCTCAGGGACTGATTTTAGACTTGCTCTTTTGGGAAAATCGTTCTTTGCATAAATGAACCCAAACCCCGTCTCCTTCTTCGAAGATCATATCCTTTTTCTCTTTGTTATTAGCTTTAGCTTATCTCTCATTATGTTGATGTATTTTCATTTTAATCTTCTCATGTAGCTTTTTAACAAACCCGCTCTTGAAGTCCCTTCTTTGTGAATAAAATGATTTACATCAGGAAGGGGTATCAAATCTATAGGTGTAAGAGGATTGAAACCATACATAGCTTCAAAAGGAGAAATATTGGTAGTCTTATGGACTACTCTATTGTAGGCAAATTCAATATGAGGCAAATACTCATCCCAAGACTTGCTGATATGGTTGATGAGTTACATGGTGCTACCATATTTTCCAAAATAGATCTTAAGAGCGGATATCACCAAATAAGAATAAAAGAAGGTGATGAGTAGAAGATTGTTTTTAAGACTAAGTTTGGTCTTAAAAGCGGATATCACCAAATAAAAATAAAAGAGGGAGGGGATGACGGAAGAGCATAGACTAAGGGTCCAACCATTAGAGTTATGGCCAGAAGATTATATGAAGATTTGACTGCTTTGAGCTTGGTGGGTCCAATGGGTTTGGTAGGCCCAGAGTACTCTTCACATGGGCTCTATAGTGAACCACCTTTATTGTACTTATTGTTGTAGAGTAGGATTTGCATAAATTGGTCTTGTATTTTTGGAGCACTTAGATTAGGGTTTAGGCCATAGGCTTAGTGGGCCTTTTTTTTGGGCTTCATGGGCCTTGGGTATTTTGGTACCCAATATTGGGCTCATTTTGCTTCTTTTATTATTTTCTATTATTTGTATTTGATTGGCCATTGTATTTAGGCCCTTAAAGTAGGAATTTTGAAAGAATACTAAAATAGGCAAGTGAGGTTAAATTTAGGTTTCATTTAGAAGTCATTTGAATTGAATTTGGGTCACATGTTTTAAGCCAAGGGTGGCTGAACATGTGCACGCCCAAGTCAATCCCAAATGCTTACTAAATGACATTTAGATGCATAAAGGCTCCTAAGATCACGGACATGCACATGGAAGCCGAGAATTTGAATTCAAATTTCATTTGAAATTCAAATTCTAGGCACCAATTGGATGGCTTGTGATTGGTGCCAATGCAGCTAGCATTTGAGCCTATTTAAAGTGTGATCCTTCACTCTTGTAGACACTTTTGCATTTATGAGAATTCTGAGATTTGCTTCAGCAATTCTCTCCCAAAAGTCACCGAGAGTTCACTTGCTTAGCAATAGGAATCCAAGAGTTTCTAATACTAATCCGTGAGCAATCATTTGTGTTCCTTGCTTGAGTGCTTCCTTCTCTAGCTGAGGATCACTGGTCTTGTCCTCAAATCTGGAAATTCAAATCCAGAATCAAGCTTCAAGGAAGAAGATCGTGACATTGGAGTAAGGAAAGGGAAGATCATCATTCACTTCACCTCCTCACTCCATCACTTATCTTCGATGTTTTAGTTCTGAACAACCTAAGGCATGGGCAGAATACTGGTATAATACCAGCTTCCAAAGTGCTGCTCATAGCACACCCTTCAAGATTGTGTATGGAAGATCGCCTCCATCTTTGGCCAGATTTATACCTGGAGAAGTTTTGGTAGAAGTAGTTGCCCTAGATCTAAAAGACAGGGATGAAGCATTAAAGCAACTAAAGTATCATTTGGGGAGAGCTCAAGATTAGATGACTCACTATGCAAATGCTAGGAGAAAACCAGCTAGTGTACAATCAGGGATTGGGTTTACTTAAAATTTTGACCTCACAGGCAGGTTTCAATACCTGAAAGCTCCAACCCAAACTCTCGGCACAATATTATGGTCCATATTTGGTCCTGAAGCAGATAGATGCAGTAGCTTTTCAGTTGCAGCTACTTGAGCAAGCCAGAATCCACTCAGTTTTCTATGTGTCTCAGCTTAAAAAAGCAGTGGGAAATCATACAGTAGAATCTGAGCTTCCAGCAGATCTTCAGGGAACAACAGGGTGTCAGCCTGAGCAAATTTTGGGCAGTTGCGTGATCACTAAATATGGTACATAGAGTCAACAGATCTTGCTTCAGTGGCAGGACGGGCTATCAGAGGAGCTACTTGGGAAGGATTCCTCTACAATCAGCAGCCAATTTCCTGAGTTGAACCTTGAGGACAAGGTTGTTTCTAAGGGGGAAGGTATTGTTAGGCTTGAGAATGAACTTCCAAAATGGACCCTTCAAGTCTATTATAGGAGGAAGAATAAATGGGTGAATTAGTTGGTTAGAAGTCTGTTACATATATATATCCCAAAGTTGTAAGGGATTAGCTGTAGTTAGTTTTTACTATAAATAACCTCTAAATGAAGAAGTGGGGGGAATTTTAATCTGTATGTTTTAGTCGACTGGTTTTCCAGTGTGAAAGGAGAGTGCTCCTCCGGGTACATTTTTGTAGAATTGTTCGGTTTCTGATTCCAGTTTATCCAAGAAATACATTATTTCTCTCTCTCTGTTCTGTTTTCTTGGGTGTTTACTTCTGCCAAAGAAAGGGTCCTAACATATTAGCATGTATTTGCATGCCAGAATGCCTTATTAAAAATCAACTTATTTTGTGCTCAACCTGAGAGTAGCCGGATTATATTGCTTGTAGTGATACGGATATACTATCAATAGTAATATTTAAGAAGATACATAAATACTGATCTGATCTGTGGCATGGGAACAAAATAAAACTACTTTCTATTTCATGTTTGATGCCACCTAATTTATTTTCAATCTTAAATTGAGCATTAATAAATAATACTAAGACATTTTCTAACCATCTCACAACTCCCATTATAGGTGATTGATGAATTTGATCAGAATGTACATTTTGTGGAAATTGATATAGAGGAAGATCCAGAAATAGCAGAAGCAGCTGGAATAATGGGTACTCCATGTGTGCAGTATTTTAAAAACAAAGAGATGCTCAAGTTAGTAATATTTATCTTTCCCCTTATTCTATAATTTATCATCTATACTATATATATGATTGATTTCGGTCATGGTTTGATATCATGGTATCCCCAAGATATAAACATTAACTGTTATTGCTGCCATGGTATCCTTACATAATTTGATAAGAGTAGAAATAAACGGTGACTAAAGCTGCTAATTGCTATCTTTATTCTTAAGGGAGATTGAGAGGCCATTGTGGTGGACTTGTTTTATGGATATTTCTTGTTATTATTTATTTATTTATTTATTTTTTTTACCACTAATGGGTTGTGCACTAATTTTGCAGGACTGTCTCAGGTGTCAAAATGAAGAGAGAATACAGAGAATTCATTGAAGCAAACAAATAGAAGTATTTTAAATTATTCGAGGGTGATGCCCGAATTCTGTGATTCAATTTTGTTTTCCATTTTAGCCCGCTGAATAGCGCTGTCAATTTTGACAACTATTCCTTGAACTAATCAGCAACTTCATAGATTGTACATGTAGAGCTACAAATCACTATCATTATTTTGATTGTTCAATATTATTATATTTTTCATACTTGAATTCAGCATGTCTCAACTACAAACATCTCGTTGCTAAGCTGAAATGACTGTTATTTTTATTATTTATCGGATTGATAAGTGTCTGTCAAAATTAATGTAAAATGGAGGTATAGGTAGCAATAATTAATTGAAATCATCATCCATTTTAGAAATTTATTTGATATTTTTTAATTTTTGGGATTATTATTACATTTTTTCAAAACCTCAAATACTAAAAGAATATTTACTCTTAATTTTATTTCCTGATATCTGGTCGGCAAAATACATTCAAATTCAATATATAGATTCTTATTGGTGAAGTTAATGAATTTTGTCTTCATATCTCATGTTTTGATCAGTGTTTTCTTTTCTGAAAAAAAAATTGATTTAGGATTCTACATAAATGATTTTTGGAACTGCTGTGGTATATGGAAAGCATTCTAGAATGGTCTAGTGGTCATCTAAGTGTAAAACACTCCAAATAGTGACATACTTGATTCAACCTTAAACTTAGGTGTTGCATATCAAAATCTTGGACTCGAGGTAACTCCGATCTAGGTTTGTTGATCTCGTGGGTCTTTTCACATCTCGTACTCAAGGATGGTGGTGGGTTGTGAGAGGAGGCTTGCCAGATGACAAATAATGCTCGGATTCCGATCTTGAAGGGTACAGAAACTCTTCCACTTAACTTTTGTTCTTGTTGTCTCTAATATTAAGCATGCGTAATTCGCTAATATAGCTATAGGTGCATGAGTAATTGGTAATGTTTACTCTATTTTGGTGTGGATTAGGAGTCCTTTTAGTCTTTCAATTACTCTAATTATTGGTCCAACGCATCCTGGGTGCAACTTTCAGGTGCTGACCATTGTAAGTCGTGGTGTTACTTGTCAATCCAATACGCAATTTGTGAATCTTCAGATGAAGATGATCGTCCTACATGATAAGATACGGTGAGAGAAAATTCAACATTAAAGCTTTGGGTTGGGTCAGTTTGCATGAATCCCTTACCTGAATTAATCAAAATTTAAAGAGTTGGATTGGGTTTATGCAATTTTTTTTTTTAAATCCAACTCAATTCAATCCAATCATAAATGAGTTGTGTTGGGTTAATTGGATTAACATAGTTAAATTTATTTATTTATTTATAAAAATTTAAATATTTTAAAAAAGCTTTGGGGATTAGTCCTTGGGGATAGCTCGGTTTGGAAGTCCTAATCTCGCTCATTATGTGCATGGGATGTATCTTGCGCGGCTTAGCTATCCCGACGAGACTCTGGTAGTATATCCATCTAGTGAGAGTGCGCAGAGGGTGTGACCCGGCATGTACTCCTAGACTACTCTTCGTATATTGCTAGCGGCAATATGCCATGTGATGTTTTACTGGCGCCACATGCATGATAATATGTAGTCCGTGTCCATACATGTGCATTTTAAATGTTATATAATAAATTGATATTTTTATGTCTTGGATGAGTGAGATGAAATATTGTTATTAACATATTTATGCTATATATGTCTTGTTTGTGTTTGGCTATCCGGTGTGTATTTCTACACTGTGAGCCAGAGTGAGATGTTTCTCACTCC